CTGAAGCCCATAAGTGCTGCCAACAGCTCCTGCTTTAATGAATTCCCTTTTAGATGTCCATTAAATGCTCGTGGCAAATGTACTCATAATGGAAATGGCAAATCTAAATGGGTAGATATGAATAATCCATGGAGTTTAAATTCTGTTTATGATCATCTTCACATTTAGTTTTCAAGACAACGCAGTTTAGTTTTCATTACAGTTTGGAATAAAGAGGACAGGGAGTAATTGATTGCTTCAAGCAGATTAAAATCAATGGTTTTCTTTTCAAAGAACCAGTTCAATGCAGTAATTCCAACTTTAAACATTGATTTAGGGTACTCAACACAAAATGTTTTGTGCTGTGTGAACTTTTATATAGAAAGACTAATATTAATTTTATTTCCCTATATATCTATATAGTGAAATATAGAGCTTGTTAGGAGCATGTGCATGACTTAATAGTGATCTATATTAAGTCATTTTTATATTATTGCAGTCATATAATGAATCAATGAGATTCCCGTCATCACTGTAATACTGTTTGTAACCCATTAGCACAGAGAAATTACAACCCATCATACATCATTACTGTGATTGAGGCTTTATTACCATATTCTTAAATTGCTTGCTTGCTATAAAACTAAACAGACACAAGGCAACTATAGGTGGGATATAGACAGCACATTATTGTGCTGCAGCAATCGGGGTAACCTTAGGAGGAAAACACTGCTGGCAGCAATAGAAATTCAGACTTTATTACTGTAAAGGTGGCATATGCGTTATGTTCAGGTTATTATTTTTGTATTGCATGAATCATGTTTTAATGTTTTCTTAAGATCTTTGTCTTCTTACTGTATCCTTTCAAAGACAGGTTTAAAGTACTTGAATGTTTTAGACTGGTGTTGGAATCTACCTTTTGCCATTTGTAAGATTAGACATTTTACCATCAGCCTGGCATAGGGTTAAGGTTAAGGGGGTCAGGATTCTCTTGGGGCCTGGTTGATATGAAAGATAAATGCAGTGCTGTCCTAAAAGTGAAGAGGAGTGAAGGTGGAAGCACCTAGGCCCGGATGTAAGGGGCTTCTAGTGTTCCAGTGAGGTATTGTGTCCTCTTGAGTTTGTTGTTCGTCCTCTACTGAGTCTACTGTGTGGCACTGACAGCATTGCTTGGAGCCACTGGAGTCCACTTCTGAGATGGCTCACTTCTCTGATGGACTCAGAACTGCTTTCTGTGGAACTGCATCCTAATCTATATGTTCCTACAGTTTAGAGCCTAGCAACATAAAACATCAGACAATATATAAATTAGACACTAGGATTAGCATAAAACTTATTCATGATTATAAAGCATTTTACAAATATATTCTGAGCCAGAGAAACCATAACTACCTGGAAAATTTAAAAAGGCAGCAGTCCAAAAAGGAACTTAATTCTCAAATGATAATGCCCTTAGAAGCCATTTACACACTACTCTTGGGCTTATTGGAATGTAATTGCTGCACTTTGTGTAAAACATATTTTTTAGTTTGCAACATAGTGGTTGTGGATAGAAAACCTGAATGCTTGTAAGACTCTGTCTTGATTGTAAAGAGGGTACTGCATGATAGGATAGCTTAGGACTGTTCTTGCCAAGTGGACTAAGCCTGATTCCATCTAGTACATTCCTGGGTGTGCCCAGCTATACAAATGGCCCTTACAACCAACAGAATTCTATGTTTGCCCAAGTACGTATTCTGAATTACTTGAATGCATTTTTAACTTTCTCTTGGATTATTTCATCACTTCTTGGCAGCCCCTCCGTTCCATTTTAAAATATGGTGAGCACTGCAAAGGCAGAGTGCAGGAATGATGGGAGCCATGCTGAGACAGAGCAGACCATACCTGAAGGTCCTAACGCTGTTAGGATTCGCTGGGCTCTGCACACAGTGCAAGTGTTTCACCGTGAAAATCATCTCTGTCCTTTAATTTCCTCAAGACTGTTTTTGGCAAGGAGGAGAATTTGAATAAATAACTTTAAAAAAAATAGATTAGTTGGGTAGATAGTAAATCAATAATTTAGAAAGTACAATAAGAAATTCAGAGTAAGTACTAACAGGAAAAAATAAAATGGGATAAAGAGTAGAGTGATTGCTGTGTGGTGTATTATTATAGATTATTTATGGAAGGCCTTTCTAATGAATAACAGTTAAGCAAAACTCCAAATAAAGCATAAAGCAGATCACAATGGTTATCTGTGACACACATGTCCCAGAAAGAACAAATATGGAGGTTGTGACATAGAAGGGTCTTTTGTAAAATAACAAAGTTACTGGATTGGGAAAGTGTATGACAGGTGCATAATAAATTTAAAGTATATTAATTATGTACAATTTATAGTGAATCCAATAGCATGGAGTATTTTTTGTTGGTTTAATAATTTTTGCTGTCAGATAATTAATTCAAAGTCAAACAAATAATGATTCCAGTAGTTCTCTTTATGGTATGTGTGTGACTGGGGGTGTTTTCATGAAAATGACATGGCACTCCTGTCGAGGGCTGAGGATGACTTACTGGAGTTGGTTCTCTCCTTCAGCCATGTGGATCCCATGAATTGAACTCGTTTCATCAGGCTTGTTGGCAATTACCTTCACCTACTGAGCCGTCTCACTGGGCTCCAGCAGCCCTCTTCAAAAACTTGTAATTGCATGTTGTTATTGTTACATTAAAATATATCTTAAATATACTAACCCAGTGTTATAACATTTGTGGGGATCATTTTGTTTTGATAAGTTGTGGCACAGTGTCTTCACTATAAACCATGGACCTTACTGTAAACTTTGAGTGGTTGTTAGTTCTGTCTGTGATAAGCACCATGACCAAAAGCAACTTGAGGAGGAAAGGGTTTACTTCTATCTTATAACTCTTAGGTCACATTACATCACTGATAGAAGTCAAAGCAGGGGCCATGGAGGAATGCTGCCTACTAGCTTGCTCAGCCTGCTTTCTCAGGATCAACTGCCCATAGTGAGCTTGGCCCTCCAATATCAATCATTAATCAAGAAAATCAACCAGGACATAGTTAAATGTGTTTGTTGCTACTGCTGGCGTAAATAGGTTTTCAACTTATTTCATCACTTAATAAAAATAAGTGTCCTTTCATTTGGTTGCCCTTACAGAGTAGTTAATAGCTCTGTTAAAGCTTATAGAGTCTGGTTTTATTTATTTAGGGTACTGAAAAATGAAAATAAGTGGCATGTGAAATTTGGGGGGATGTCTATTGAATATGTCCTTCAGTTGTAAAATGTTTTGAGAATTTGGGGTGTCTGTGTGTATTATATGCATGGATGTGCAAATTCACTTATCCATGCATGAAGGCCCAGAGGGCAATGTCTGGTATCTTTCTCTTTCCCTCTTCATTTTTTTGGGGGGAGGGGCAGTGAGGGGTGGAATTCAAGATAGGGTTTCTTTGTGTACCTCTTGCTGTCCTGGAATTTGTTTGTAGACCAGGCTGACCTTGAACTTGCAGAGATCTACCTCCCTCTGCCTCTGTTGGGACTAAAGGCATGTACCACCATTTCCGGCTCCTCTCTGTTTTCTTCAGTCATAGTCTCTGGCTGTGGAACTTGTTGTTTTGGCTAGACTGGCTAACCACTGAGCCCTCAGCATCTTCCTGTGTCTGCCCCCTGGCTCTGGGCTTACAGATAGGCATCACTAGATCCCAATTTTTATATGGGTGCTGGGCCTTTCTGTGAGTTCAAGGCCAACCTCTACAAAGACAGGCACCAAAACTACTTGGAGAAACCCTGTCTCGAAAAACAACAACAACAACAACAAAAAAAAAAAAAAAAAGAGATATGAGAAAAAAGTAGAGATGCTATTAAGTATTCTCCTATACTCCAGTTTTTAGTGTTCAAAAATGATCTTTAGCTTGTGACTGTACTTTCATGAAGATGTTCTTTGGTAGTATTTTCTTTTAAGATTTCTTCTTTTTTATTATTAAGAATTTTTTGTATTCATTTTACATATCAACCACAGATCCCTCCTCTCTTCCCTCGGCCCGTCTCCCCAGCCTTCCCCCCTCCAACTCATCCCCCATTCCTCCCTCTGACAAGGTAAGGCCTCCCATGGGGAGTGAGAAGAGCCTGGTACATTCAGTTGAGGCAGGTCCAAGCCCCTCCCTCTGCATCAAGGCTGTGCAATGTGTCCCACCATATGTAGTAGACTCCAAAAAGCCTGCTCATGTACCAGGGATGTATCCTGATCCTACTTTTAGGGGTCCCTTAAAAACAGATCAAGCTACACAACTGTCGATTATGCAGAGGGCCTAGTCCAGTTCTGTGGAGGCTCTACAGCTGTTGATCTAAAGTTGTGAGTTCTCGCTAGTTTGGTTTGGTTGTCTCTGTAGGTTTCCCCATCATAATCTTGATGCACCTTGCTCACAGAATCCCTCTTCTCTCTCTTCATGATAGAGAGAGATATCATGAGGATAGGGAGAAACCAGGTGCTAGGGAAGTTCCCAGAAATCTACAAGGATGACCCCAGCTTAGATTACTAGCAGTAGTGGAGAGGGTGCCTGTAGCTAGAGTTTTCCTGCCTTGCCCACAGTCAGGACAAATCTCTGTCACCCGCCAGTCCCACAGCTGCTCAGACCCAACCAAGTAATCACAGAGACTTATATTGCTTATAAACTGTATGGCCGTGGCAGGCTTCTTGCTAACTGTTCTTATAGCTTAAATTAATCCATTTCCATAAATCTATACCTTGCCACGTGGCATGTGGCTTACCGGTGTCTTCACATGAGGCTTGTCATAGTGGCGGCTAGCAGTTTCTCTGCCTCAGCCTTCCACTTCCCAGAATTATTCTCCTCCTTGTCCCGCCTGTACTTCCTCCTGCCTGGCCACTGGCCAATCAGTGTTTTATTTATTGACCAATCAGAGCAACAGATTTGACATATAGACCATCCCACAGCAGGTGCCTGAACTGGCTTACCCCAGTAATCAGATTGGTGAATACCCTGTCATCATAGAGCCTTCATCCAGTAACTGATGGAAGCACGTGCAGAGATCCACAGCCAAGCACCAGGCAAGAGTCTAGTCGAAGAGAAGAGATTCTATGAGCAAGGGGCATGACAATTCTTCTTCTTAATTATTTGTACATGTGGAGGTCAGAGGCATCAGGTCCTCTGGAGCTCAAGTTGTGGGCAGTTGGGAATTGTCTGACATGAATGTTGGGAACCAAACTCTGGTTCTGGAAGAGCAGTATGTACTCTTAACCCCTGAGCCATTTCTCCAACCCCTAATGGTAATTCTTCTGAAGTAAATGTGGAAACTGAAACACTCTTTGCCATCTAAAGATCACTGTTGTTGTTTTTGTTTTAACCTAAACTATTTTCTTGTGAAAGTTCCAATAATACCCACAATATAAGATTGTGGTTTAGTCAGGCATTGGTGGCACACTCCTTTAATCGCAGGATTTGGGAGGCAGAAGCAGATGGATCACTGAGTTCCAGGCCAGCCTGGTCTACAGAGAGAGTTCCAGAGAAACCCTGTTTGGAGGGTGAGGGGCGGGGAGAGTTGTGGTTGTCACGTGACCAAGAACCAGTAGAGCTGCTCTTTGTACCAAGAGATCTGACAGAAACAGATTGCTTCTGTGGGAATGTAGATGTGAGCCTGGCACATCAGCTTAGGCCCTGGGGACTCCACTGTGAGAACTGTAGACATCTGTAGGAGTGTGTAATTCATGGGCCATGGGCCCTTCTTTGGCTATTAGATGACACAGCTTCAATATCACGGTTAGGTGACTACATCAGCCTCCATAAACTATTGTTCGACTGGAGTGTGTCTAGTCGACGTGCCTGTAATCAGTGCAGACAACTAGCTCTGTCATTGTCAGCAGATGCTTCTGATTTATGGGTGTGGTGTAATAAGAGCATTTGGCTGGGCCAAATTTTAAGCCTCTGTCATTCTGAATGGTGACTATTTATTGAGCATTAGTGAAGTTTTATTCTTCTGAGACAGAGAAGTCTTAAACTTGGTCCACAGCTATGAGGGATTTAAACCCGTTGAAGAGAGACTAGCACATAGAGGCTGTTAGAACAGTCTTTTAATAAATTATTAATGAAGAATTTTGAACTCTTTGGGTTCTTTGTTTTGTTGTTTTTTTTTTTGTTTTTTTTTTTTTTGTTTTTTCGAAACAGGGTTTCTCTGTGTAGCTTTGCGCCTTTCCTGGAACTCACTTGGTACCCCAGGCTGGCCTCGAACTCACAGAGATCTGCCTGCCTCTGCCTCCCGAGTGCTGGGATTAAAGGCGTGCGCCACCATCGCCTGGCTTGTTGTTGTTGTTGTTGTTTTTCAAGACAGGGTTTCTCTGTGTAATTTTGGTGCTTGTCCTGGATCTCGCTCTGTAGACCAGGCTGGCCTCGAACTCACAGAGATCTGCCTGGCTCTGCCTCCCAAGTGCTAGGATTAAAGGCGTGTACCACCACCCGGCTATAATTTTGGACTCTTAAGACACTTATAAAAGGCAACTAAATATAGAAAGGGTCTATTTAAACAATACAAAGTCCATGTTTGAAATTAGGTTTTGGGTAAGCAAATTGTACATGTATGCACTCACAGCAGAGAGCAAAAAATCAGGGTGGGCTGCACTGCTCTGGCCTTCTGTGTGCTCACTGAGCAGACATGAAAGGTGGTATTTTGTTTTTCATGCTGTCTGTGACTACTGATGTATATGACATTTTAATTTTAATGTATTTTGTGAACTATGTATTCTTAGAAAAAGAACCCAGTATGTGAATTCTTAGGCTTTAACAGGATGCATGAATCCAGCTGATGTGTGATTTAAACATTAAGATTAAAGTGACAAATATATGAAAATTATTTATAAACAAAATAATTTTTTCTACATAATTCTTAGAATGAAGTTTTCAGATAATTTTAAGGTTCCTTAAGTATAATTTCAGCATATTAAAATATATTAGCATTAATTTTTATATTAAAATTTTATTTTACTTCGTTAGCAGCTCTTTAATTCATTACCTTATTTTTCCTTTTATGAAACACTATGTTTTCTAACCATCATAGAGAATTTTTATATTTATTTGATCTCTCAGTATAATACTTGAATTTGTTTTACTCACAAAGGTAAAAAGAATTTCAAATTTACTCATAATAAAAGTATTAGAGAAACTGTCAATAAATTTACTGTTCTAATTGAATCATATGATATCTAAATTGTTGATAATATGATCAGCTCGTTAAACAATAGTGTCTGGAGAAAATGATGGATTAATTGACTGATGGCTAAAGTTTCCCTCAAATATAATGGTTTACCCAGTTTGATTTGATTTGTGTAAAATAACTTTCTCTAATAAACAATTTGCTCAGAGGCAATAGAAGAAATGAATGGTTATCAAACCAAACTTAATTAGTCTATCCTAGATTGATATTACTTGGGGAGTCTTCATTTTAATTGTGGAGTGCTGGATACAAAGAGTTTGGTTCATTATTTTTTCCTGTATAAACACTATTGTGTAACTACCTATGGAATAATAACATGTGAATTCATTTTAATAAATGCTTGTAAAGTGGATTAGCTAATTATGCCAAGCTAAAAATGATTCCTTTAATTATTTTGGATATTTAACTGGTACTTCAATTTTATTATTGTTAGTCTGTAAATGTGATTTGTATTAGCTCTGCCAAGCTAATTATAATGTATAACCTAACAGTTTGAACAGTTTTGTAAAGCTCACAGTGCTCTCCTCTCCTGTGCAAGAGAAAACATTGCTATGTTACTTGAAGATACATGACACCATTTCAGACCAAAGGGATGGCAAAATATTTGTAAAGAGAGAAACATCTTTCAATATCTAGCTGAATGCTTTTTTTTATAATCATATATATGAGAGGAATAAACAGCTGCCATTCAGTGAGCTAAAACTATTAGCTCATTAATGTGTCTTAAGATAGGGTACCGCAAAGGCCAAGTACTCATTACTTTAAGTCTAGGAAGGTTTGTGGTCTTCATTCCTTGCCTTTGTCCTCACTCTCAAGTAGAACGATTCTTAAAAATAACATTCTGGGTGTGACAAACAATGTTCCCCTTCATCACTTTTACTTAGCAGACTAACAGTAATTGTATTTGAATCCGAAATCAATGAAAACAAAAGCTTTAGTAGTAAATAAATAGCATCCAAATTTAGTCTTGGAAGAAAAGCAAATAACCTTGATGAAAATATGCAGCCTAAAACTTTTTTTTTTTTTTTTGGTAAAGTGGCATATAATAAAGTTAACTTTTTCTCTTTGTTTTTTCTGTTTTAAGCTATAGCCATCAAGACCATGCCCGGCCTTTGTGTCTTTTCTCCCCATAGCAACCACTGATAGTCCTCACTGCTATCCTTGGGCCTTTTTCTAGAATGTAATATAAGTGTGATTGTAAATTATTTGACCCTTCTTTCCCTCTTCAAATTCAATTTAGCAACATTAGTATCAGTTTTTAAGTTAATATAAGTGCTCTACTCTATATGGACGTTAATGTGTCTGAACTAGATGCCACAGATGTTATGTTAGAACTGGATTTTTATCATTATTTACTGCATGTTCTACTTTTTTCTCCTTGAGATGGGGTCTCCCTGTGTTACCCCGGCTAGCATTGAACTGATGATCCTTCTGTCTCATCCTCCTGCCTTGCTGGAGTTATAGACAAGCGCCAGTGTTCTGGCAGTTCTACCCTTAGTGACTAAATAGTAGTTGTATATTTCAGTCATACGTAGTTTAACCTACCTGCAACATAACAAGGTTAAGGCTTTTTGAAAATGCTGCATTCAGACCTGCAGTGAGCGTATGTGTGTATACCTGTTCTGCATGTAATTTCTACCCTGTGGTTCCTGGAAATGAATTTATTAGGTGAAAGATGATGCACAAAAACTGTATGGGTAGCCATTCTCCTTACAAAAAGCTTGAACCAGTTTGGACTTCATTGTATTACTTTGCCTTCAGTGTCCTTTATAATCTTGGCAAATCTAGGTATCCACCTTTTTTGCTTTTAATTTATATTGCATTAAAGATTATGATGTTTGCAGTAATACTGCTATATCACTTCTCTATGTGATATGTATTTACACACCATCTTAGTTTTATGAATACCAGACACTTTTTTAAAAGATTTGTTTATTTATACTTGATGTGCATTTGGTGATTTGCCTGCATGTATGTCTGTATGAGTGCGCCAGATCCCCTGGAACTGGAATTACAAACAGCTGTGTGCTGCTATGTGGGTGCTAAGAATTGAACCCAAGTCCTCTGGAAGAGCAACCAGAGTGCTCTTACCTGCTGAGCCATTTCTACAGTCCTCCCAGACACTTCTTGTTTGTTTGAATTAGTTTGAGAGTGAGTTTGTTTGTTTGTTTGCTTGTTTGTTTGTTTTTGATATTCAATAGAGTTGTGGAAGAAAAACCTCAGTTTTATTTTGCCTTTTCTTAATTGGTTAATGATATTGAACATCTTTTCATATACTCAGCTCTTCCCCTATATGTGCTGGACAAGTATCAGTTCAAATATTATGCCTGTTTCTAAGTTAGGTCATTTCTTTTGCTGCTCTTAAAACTTTAGGTGCAAATTGTTTCTCAGATGGGCGGCTTGCAGATGCTTTCCCTTTATATTTGGTTTGTCTATAATTTAACAATGGTCATCAAACACCAAAGGTTGTTCATTTGGATGAAGTTTAATTCACTAGCCTTTCTTTTATGCATTATACTTTTTCTGTCCCATTTTCTCCTGGAGTTAAATAATTGCTGCATGTCTTTTGGAGCATTCATTTCCCATTATTTTGCTTTAAACTCTTTCTCTACATTTTGTGGGTTTCTGATAGCACCATCGGGTCTTTATTTTTTAATCTATTTATTCAATCTATCTTTGAATGTATTTCTACAATTACAATTGATTATTATTGGTGTTTCATTTTAGTCTACCTTCATTCATTTGCTATTTGATCCCTCTTAGATTTAATTTTCTTTAGACTTACTTTTCAAGACTAGCAAAGATTGTGTATACACATTTGACTGATTTGTGCGGTATTGGGGTATATTTTG